TGCTCTATCTTCTCTATCTTGACACCAAAATAGATTCCCTTAGCTAAAGAGTCTAAACCATATCAACGAGCATCCTTTTTTGACTACCCGTCTTTAAGCTTCCAAAAAAAAATTCAGGCATAAGAGATTTTAAACGAGTTTCAAGGTTATTTTGCAGAAAAATAATTGGCCTTTCTAATGAAACAAACCGTAGTTTAATTGATGCATTTGTTGGTTATAAACGGAAGTACGAAAATGAACAAAAAAGGCTTTCTGGATAGCTTAATATAAGATCTGTTGCAAAGTTATCAAAATTATCAAATTAAAAAATAGGACCCCCTATGGTTAACTAACTGATTTTGTGGTACCGGTATTAAGGAAAGGCAAATGAATAAAAGCGGATTAGTTTTTTTGATTGAGATTAGGATAAAATAGGTATCAAGCTAAATATTGGGTTGGGGAGAATGAGTCGGCGCCCAACTTTAAAGGGACTTTTGCACACATAAAGCCTTCTTTAAACATACGTTTGGTTTCATCAAAAGGATCCACTATTTCTCTACAAAATCACTTTTGAGAGATTCCACAAAGCTTTTCTTTCGTGGAGTTTATGAACTTCCAAACGCAGCTGGTTAAAATGGCAAAGAGTCCGACTCATCATTTGAACAGTTTCTTTCACATAAACCTTCTTTGGTGTTTATATAAAAAAGATAGAGCACATTCAATTACTTAAGTTGCCAAATTTGCAGGAAGATCCCACCAATGGTTTTTTCTAGATCACAGTTTGTAGTTTTTGTGAAAGAATGGCTTTTTCTTGAGCGGAGGCGCTGTTTGAATTTTCTTTTAAATGTCATTTTGCAGAGAATTAGTTAACCATTCTACTGATATCAAACGCATATTATTTGACAAAGTCGAATAGAAGTTTTAGACATTTTTTTGATTTTCGGCGCCGACTCATTCTCCCCAACCCAATAAATAAAGAGATACCGAGGGAAAGATGGGAAAACGGGAGAAATCACTAGAGCGCAAAGAATTAGAATTACTAGGAACTTAGAACTTTTCAAATTATGGTGTCTTTACAGATTTTGATTTCAGCTTATGAATCGATTTAGTAAGATGTATGTGGTCCGAAATCGAAAGCTCACTGGAAGTTCGTGCCTTTCTCTAGTTAGTGCAACTGTCAAATAGCTTATTTCTTTTGATTACCCATACATCTTTAATTCATTCAAACATTGACAAGAATTCAATGTTGAAAATCAATTCGGTATCTTGTGAATGTGTTAAAAATGAAATCAATTGTTTTTTTGTGGATAGTGAATGGGTAAAAGTAAATAAAGAGATAGATAGATAAAGAGAAAGAGAAAGTACACTAAAAAAAGTTTTTGAACTCAAATTCACTGTGTTTTGATGAGCTCAATCAGTCAATATCTTTTTCTTTTCCTTTTTCAGATTTAGAGAGCACTCAATCGGTCACATAGCTGAGAGAAAATTTCCTTTTTTCCTTTCCCTTTTCTTTTTCTCTTTTTTTTTGATCTGTCTGACCATTGAAATCTCTTGTCAAATCGATGACAAATTGCATTTTTTTATGTTTTCTTTTATATTCAAAAATATTTTACGGATCTACAAATACAAAAAAATTTGTTTTTTTGATAAAAAGTTGTCTCTAAAATGTTCAGATTTTGAATTTCAGAGTTGAATTTAAACTTTTTTTCTAAGATAATTTCAACTCGAAATTGTATTTTTAATTAAAAATTGGTAAACACGTCGTTTCTGGCTCACTTATTAACCATTTTTCTTTCCCGCCGCCACTGACCAGTGGTCACTGACTCTTTTGAAAGTTACGAGAATGAGCGTATTCTCTCTAATAGTAGTGGACTCTGCCGAGCCGAGTTGATGACTGTTTTACGGTTTCCAAGCTTTTGCAGAACCTCAACACTCTAATCCCCCACGAGATCTCATCGTCAGCTACATTTTCCGACCCCACATCGATAGGTTCTGATAAGCGGTTCTCGAGATTTCGAGCAATTTAGGCAACGCTCAGGGTGCATTATTATTAGAGAAAATACGGTAGTCATTCAGATGATGTGAATTTTCATTTAAAAATGATATTAATCGTTTTGGTTTCTGGATTGTTGCAAAGGCAAGGTCAAAAGTCGGGTTCAGTTTGTCTTGATCTGCCTGGTCTTGTTTAAGTATCTAGACTTGGACTCTGACCTGGCCTGGCTAGGATCCGAGTTGGTGACGATTTTACGGTTTCCAAGCTTTTGCAGAACCTCAACACTCAAATCCTCCACTAGATCTCATTGTCAGCTACATTTTCCGACCCCACATCGATAGGTACTGCTAAGAGGTTCTCGAGATTTCGAGCAATTTAGGCAACGCTCAGGGTCCACTACTATACTATGAGATTCTTTTATGTTTTCTTTTATATTCAAAAATATATTACGGATCTACAAATGCAAAAAATTTGTTTTTTTGATAAAAAGTTGTCTCTAAAATGTTCAGATTTGAATTTCAGAGTTGAATTTGAACTTTTTTCTAAGATAATTTCAACTCAAAATTGTATTTTTAATTGAAAATTATTAAACGCATCGTTTCTGGCTCACTTATTAACCATTTTTCTTTCTTTTTATGGAGAATTTGAGGCCGCTAGAAAGGATTTACCAATTTTAAGCACAAAGTACAGCGTCGAACTTTGACAACTCATTCAACAAGTTTCATTTGTTTTCATTTGTAAGTCAAAAAAGAAACTGACTCAAAAATGCTTTCAAAAGACAGTCTTGACCTCAAAAATTGTATAAAAAAGACAAAAACAAAACTCACGCTATTCATTGTTTTTTGTTTTACTTTTATTTTGTCTTTTCATTTGCGACTTTAGTCTACACATTTGACTCATTTAACAACTTTTAATCTTTCAAACTTTCATCTTTCATTTCCACTCTAAACTAAACTCTACAAATTCTAATTTTCTGCAAAAATGAAGATTCTCGCTTTTTTCTCGAGAAAGAGATTTCTCAAATCTGATATTGAGATTGAAATGGATCAGAAAAGTGGACAGGAGAAGCTACTGTTGCCAGAACAAACACCGTACATTGGACCGCCACCAGTAAGCTTTACTAGATTTGAGCGGTAGAGATATCCCAAAAAAGTAGATCTAAAGTAAAAGCTTGATGTAAGCTAAAGTAAACAGCCGTTTTGTGCGCACATTTGGCCCTCCATTTGGCCCTTCATTTGGCCCTCCAAAGCAGCAAACAAAAAAGGCCCCAAAACTAAAAGTTTTTCTTTATTTCATCAAAAACTTCAAGCAAATCATATTTATCAGCAAAAGCAAAAAGCTTATGATAATCGGGATTCCCAAGACGTCTCTGATTCAAGTACTTTGATTTAATTACCCAAGTTTGACGTTAGCGTGAACCCCAAGAAGCCCAGCTGTCTTGAGAAGATTTGAAACGCGTTCCCGCAAAGGGGATGCACAAATGAATGTGAAAATTGAAAGTAAAGAAGATTTCATGTTGTTCTTTTGTCAAAAATTCAAAATTTTTAGGACCAAACACGAAAATTTCCGAATCTCCGTTTCTTCGTTCTTATTTTGGGTGTCTGTTCAGCGGCTGCTCCTGTCTCATGCTTTTTCGCCTTTACTTTCGCGGTTGCTTGTAACAATCCACCTGGAATCAATCGATCAGCTGAATATTTAAAGTAAGAAAGCATCATAAATAATTAAATTAAACTCAATAGGTTTAAAATGCTTATTATAAACATCTCGACAAATTCAACTTTATTCTAGAGACCCGCACAACTCTCCTCTAATTTTCTTCGATCCCCTTGAGGAAAGCATCGCTTTCTCAGCTTACTCCATCGGAACTCTCATCATGTTACCAATTCTACCATTTCTTCGATTTGCCACAATCAGGTCAGACGAAGATTCTTAAGTTTACTATTTACTATCTATTGGTTTGGTGAATTGAAAACAGCCGGACTTTGAACTAAAATTTATTCAACATAAAACCATCAACTCATTCCAAATAATTTCCATTATTATTGACGACTTCTGCCCATTTTACAGGCAATTTGCCGATTCCTCTTTCGTAGTAGGATTTTGGTTTGTGTGTGAGACAAGTGTGAGGCTCAAAAATGGAAGACTGGAGATGCCCCAGTTTGAGCACTTTCTTCAAAAGAAACCCATTTTGATGTCAATAGAAAAGTTGTAGAGAATCAAAACTTAGGCTTATAGCCAAATTTCCAAAAAGATACACGTGGTAGTTTCGCTTAAAATGCAAGTTTTGTGAAAATGCGTAAATTTGGCATTTCTTGAAAGCCAGTTTTTGAATCGTTCTGAAAATTTGGATATAAGCTTGATTTTTGATTCTCTACAACTTTTCCATTGACACCAAAATGGGTTTCTTTTGAAGAAAGTGCTCAAACTGTCACATATGCCAATAGCCGGCACTTTTCAATTCACCAACCCAATATTTAAATCAAAAAAAAGGGATTGTTATAGAGTTTCAAACTTTTCTAGAACTCAAGTCTTCATCGGGGTTTTCTTGACCGGTATCTTGACGGCGCTCTTTCCGTTTCTTTTCGACAACTGGCCAATTTTGTCACTTGTATCCAGGTAAATTTAGAGATTACTAGGCTTTTGCTTTCTTCGGTACTTTAGTATGTAATGGAACTTACAGGGTAAATGATATCAAGTACAAGAAATAGAAAAATTAGACGAAAACTAGTGGTATGTTGCCGAGAAAGTACAGTAGTCGAGAAAGTTTACACGTTTTAGAAAACGGCAGAACACAAAAGGAATACACTTTAATTTGTACATGATTCGCAAAGAAAGATTCCCATTTTACCCTCCAGATTTCTCCACGGTGCCGCAGCTGCTCCAACGATCCCCTTGCTTGGCCATCTCTGCGCTCACTGGTGTCCAAAGAAAGAAATCGGTCTCTTCGTTGGTGCGATCACTTGCTATTCACAGGTTCTAATCTATTTCTGCTTCAATTACCCAATCTTAGTTCGCCATTTTTTTCACGATGGCCGTTAGCGGGGTGACTTGTGAAATGGGCGGATGGAGGCCGATTTTCTATCTTCACGGATCGGTCTCCGTAATCATTGCCGTATTCTGGTACAGTGAACTGAAAATTTTGAGATTTGAAAGATTACAGGCTGATTTTCTTCATTGATTACCCACATAAACATCCGTATTTATCGAATCAAGAATACCAGTTGTTGCACTCGGACACTCGGTCACCGATGGGGCAAAATGAGCAGCCGAAAGTACCGTATTGGTGAGTGAAAGGGAAATCCATCTAGCTACTATATAAAGCAGAAGTCTGTCTGTCTGTCTGTCTGTCTGTTTCTCTGTTTGTCTTCTGTCTGCCTGTCTGCCTGTCTTTCTGTATGTTTGTCTGTCTATCTGTCCGTTTGTCTGCCTGTATGTCTGTTTGTCTGTCTGTCTGTCTGTTTGTCTGCTTGTCTGTTTGTCTTCTGTCTGCTTGTCTGTTTGTCTTCTGTCTGCTTGTCTGCCTTTCTTTCTGTCTGTCTATCTGTCTGTCTGTCTGTCTGTCTGTCTGTCTGTCTATCTGTCTATCTGTTTGCACTTTTCTCGACGCCCTGATACTGAAATTATAGCTCTTTAAGCCATCCTAATCCAATTTTCTTTAGCAAATTGGTCTCAAACAAAGGCATCGTCGCTGTGCTCATTGCCGCTATTGGGAACTACAATGGAATCAGTCCACTCATCGTCTTTTGTTCCCTTTTGATGAGGGTAAGCTCAATCAAGATTAATCCTATTGTTAAGTTCTCCTATCGTCTCAAAATTTGTTGTACTTTATGCTCAAAAATGAGACACACCCTTTTTAGCGCAATCACTTATGTATTCGTTTTGAATCCTCAATTCGTAGTAGTAGAATTGAATGTAGAATTGAATGCGCCAAAAAGGGTGCATTTACATTTCAAAGTCGGTTCAAACTCTATCAATTTCACTCAATTTTCAGAAAGGTTTGGGCAGTTCGGAGCTCGAGATCTCTTCATACATCTCCGCCTCTTTTGCCATTCAAGCTTTCTTCAAAATATTGAGTGGTTGAGGAAATTTTCTGTTTTCAAAAAAAACCAATGCCTTCAGGTGTTCTAAGTGATAAAATGAAGGGATTTTCGGAGAAAAATCGTCTTCGTCTCTTCAATTCACTTTCTTGTGGCCTCTCCGGGGTATTGATGATCGGAGTGGCTTTCTTGAATCCAAAAGATAAGGTGCGATATTGGGATTGAAACCTGTTTGCTAAAATTTGTCAACTTTCGAAAAGCTACCGTACTTTTACTTGTGGTTTTCATCTAATCTATATAAGCTATTGTTTTTTTTCATCTTTCAAATCCTTTTTTGAAAGCTCACAGAATCAGATTCAAAGTAGATAGATTCGATAAAAACAGAAACAAGATAGCTTTTGAAATTTTTCAAGTTTTAGAGAACGTTCCTCTAATTTAGACTCCGTTTTTTAAAAAGTAGATACCGTATTTTTTCTAATAGTAGTGCACCCCGGCGAGCCGAGTTGGTGACTATTTTACGGTTTCCAAGCTTTCAAAGAAGCTCAACACTATAATCCCCCACAAGATCTCATCATCAGATCAACATTTTCCGACCCCACACCGATAGGTTCTGATAAGCGGTTCTCGAGATTTCGAGCAATTTAGGCGATGCTCATGGTGCACTACTATTAGAGAGAATACGGTAATTACATAATTCAGTTTACAATTACACAATCACATTCAATTACAAACAAATGGATTACCGTATTTTCTCTAATGGTAGTGCACCCCGGCGAGCCGAGTTGGTGACGATTTTACGGTTTCCAAGCTTTCGCAGAAGCTCAGCACTCTAATCCCCCACTAGATCTCATCGTCAGCTACATTTTCCGACCCCACATCGATAGGTTCTGATAAGCGGTTCTCGAGATTTCGAGCAATTTAGATGCTCAGGGTGCACTACTACTAGAGAAAATACGGTAATTTGGAAAACGATCGTAATCGTTTCTTCAGCTTTTCTCCGTTCTGTTTTTGCTAAGTTTTAATTCCATTTTGATTCTCTTCGAAGGAGATAATAACTAAGTCAATCCCGACAAAAACTGAAGAAAGATTATGGTAGTTTTTGACCACATTAAGTGAGATAATCATTGTCGTCTCTTATAGATCCTCTGCTCGATAATGCTAACAGTAACTCAAGCGATCATCGGCTTCAATTCGGCCGGTTTCAATCGAGCGGCAATCGTTGTCTCTGGGTAAACACTTGAAAAGGACCAAAAAAAACAATAACATTTTCAGAAAATATGCCTCTTTTATAATGACAATCATCGGCATAATTGTCTCCTTATCGACGGTCATCGAACCGTACATCATGGCCGCTGTGGCACCCGATCACACGTGGGGACAATGGTACGCGTTGCTATCGAAATTCGGGGCAATTACTAATTAGCTAAAGCAGATTGCATACAGATCCAACTTATGGATCTAATACAGCCTTGTAACAGATCTAGCTTAGCCGATATCAGACCTAGCCTAAAGGAAATTTAACTGTGGAAACTTTTTTGGAGAATTTCTCAATAAAAAACCCCTATAACTCGACGTACAAGCGTCGGATCGACTCAGGGTTGGTTTTAAAAGAATCTACAGAAAATTCTGTTATAGAAATGTGCAATTTGTAGAATTTGTTTGCTAAGAAACAATTGAGTTATAGAGATTCTCCCTTACCGCCACCCCACTGCACTTTTTTGGGGAATTTTTCACAAGACAGGCGAGGTGTAGGTCCTTGCTGACTGGCATACAGAAAACACGCTCCAGCAGAACCCTTATAGTAAGAGCTTGTCCTGGCCCAGATCGCATAACCAGACCAGATCCAGGCCAAAAGCAAGACATGGGCAGGTTCTAAGCTGGCTTCTGATGTGCCAAGGCTTGGCTGGCTCCTGGCTTCGTTGTCTTACAACCCCTGAACCAAAGCCAGGTCGTTCTGATTTGACTATGAGAAACAGACCAGACCAGGCTACAGCCTTATCAAGAAGACTAGAAGATCCTTGAACCTAACAGGCTACTGTATTTTGGGTCTAAACATTGTATAAAAATTTCCAGGTTTCCTCTTCTCGTCGTTCATGGGGCGATCCTCATTATCTCGAATGCTCTTTTCTGCTTACTCACTGACGGGAAACCGTTTCAAGAATGAGAAACGAATCCAATATAGGCAATGATAAGACGTGAATAAATTATTTCATTGAATACCGAACAGGTACAGAAATTTGACTTAAAATCAAAGATTTTTCAAGCGAGAGGAGCTCGTCTTTTACCAGTAAAATGAGCACAGTTTATTGAAAAAGATAGAAACTATTTTGATTGATTTAGATGGCTTTATTGAATAAATCTTTCTGAAATTGAAAATCACTTATCGGCCAATCCAATAATAAACGTGTGCCTCTTTTTCCACATTGCCTCCATGGAATCCAATAAGTCGAATGAAAGATTCCAGATTCTCTAGCTCATCAAGCTCTTCTTTGAAGCTCTTGTATGCTTCTTTGAAGCTCTTGTATGCTTCTTTGAAGCTCTTGTATGCTTCTTTGAAGCTCTTGTATGCTTCTTTGAAGCTCTTTGTAAATTTGAAACTGAGCTAACTCATTTCTTTTTCAACTGATCTTGTTGAAAGTAAAATATAAGAATGGTCATAAGTTACAAGGCCATAATCCCTCAATGCTGGCGCATATGGGCGCTGTGTGTGGTGACGAATCCGAGAAATTTTCGAGGAACTTAAATACATTCTCATTTACCATTAGCAAATTCAAACCTTCTTGATATTAGCCTTGGTGAAAACGATTCTGCACGATCAAAATTTCTTCCTAACTCTTGAAAGCGTTTGATCGCGTTGTAAACAAGTTGTTTGTGTATCATCAATCGCTTCAATGAGATATCCATCGCCAGAACGCGACGCTTGTGTAGATTAGAGTGTGCTCCTTGTTGACAGATAATTTGTCAGACAAATTTTCATTGACAACTTTTTTGTCAGACAATTGATCCGACAAACTTCCGACAACGCGTTTTCTAAAAGGTGCGCTTTTTAAGCAAAGCTATAAAGGTGGCGCGAAAAAAATTTGCAAACTTTTCTTAAAATGTAGTAATGGATAGTTTTATTTAAGGATTTAGGTTTTTTAGGGCGTGGAATTTTTTTTTGGAATGGTTCTAGTGCAAATGTAGACAATAGGCCTGGTAAATTCGTAAATAATATCATTTTTTAATAGTGTTTCTTAACTTTTCCCGTTTTAAATGCTTTCTTTAATTTTACATAGCATTTAAAAAATATGAAGTTTTAGCGAAAGAGTAATAGAAAAAAAGAGCGCAAGATTTTAATGTAAATTTGCATTTTGAAAAATTTACTGATGCAAAGCATAGGGTTACGGTAGCTTTTCCTTGGCGCGCGCTTTTTGGAAAACGCGTTGTCTGCAAGGAACACACTCTAGTGTAGATCAATGATCACATCTCGGTACACTGATTTGACCATTCTAAAGAGACATTTTTTGCGAAAATAGTAAGTAAATAGTTAAATAGATTAAAAAAAACCAAAAAAAGACAAAACAATATATAAATTGTAAGCAGAAAATTTAGACGACTACAGGGTTGTACAGGATTACGGGGACTAAAGAACTTGAGGATTTAAGGACCTTAAACTTATAAGCTTCCATTCCACGACGATTTTTGACAATACGGCCCATAGAAGTTCGAGAAATTCCCATATTCTTTGCCATTCTGGCCTGCGAACGAGTGGCTTTCAAGCGTAGCTGATCTCGAACCTTCTTGATATTAGTTTTGGTAACAACGGTCGCTTTGCCATCACGTCCGGAACGATCAGAATTTGTTCCTAACTCTTGAAAGCGTTTGATCGCATTGTAAACAAGTCGTTTGCGTATCAATCGCTTAGAGATATCCATCGCCAGAACGCCAGACTTTTGTAGATCAATGATCACATCTCGGTACACTGATTTGACCATTCTAAAGAGACATTTTTTGCGAAAATAGTAAGTAAATAGTTAAATAGATAAAATAAACCAAAAAAAGACAAAACAATATTTAAATTGTAAGCAAAAATATGCAATATCAAAGTTCCCGAAATCCTGGACAACCCTGTATTTTGATTGATTTAAATGGCTTTATAGAATAAAGGTTTCTGTTTGAAATTGACTCATTTATCGGCCAACCCAATAGTGCTGAAATCTTTCGTAGTTAGTTGAATGGCTTTGTGCAGAAACGTGGCTCTTTTCTGTGAAATCGTATTTAATGTTTTGATTTTGAGTATCTGATTCTCTTGTCCCGCCTCTAAAAGATCGTTTTTATGCTAAAAGGGACGGAGCCCACTTTGTATTGTCTCTTCGTATTGTTTTTCGTATTGCTTGAAACACTGAACCAACTATAGATTCTATTTTATTATATTTTCTCGCTAGATTAGTATTGTGCTAGATTCGGAATAAATATCTAATAATCATTGCCCCCAGCGGTACTCTCTCACACTGCACAATCGCATATCGGTACACTGATTTGACCATTCTAAATAGTAAGTAAATAGTAAGTAAATAGTAAGTAAATATTGGGTTGGGGAGAATGAGTCGGCGCCGAAAATCAAAAAAAATGTCTAAAACTTCTATTCGACTTCGTCAAATAATATGCGTTTGATATGAGTAGAATGGTTAACTAATTCTCTACAAAATGACATTTAAAAGAAAATTCAAACAGCGCCTCCGCTCAAGAAAAAGCCATTTTTTCACAAAAACTACAAACTGTGATCTAGAAAAAACCATTGGTGGAATCTTCCTGCAAATTTGGCAACTTAAGTAATTGAATGTGCTCTATCTTTTTTATATAAACACCAAAGAAGGTTTATGTGAAAGAAACTGTTCAAATGATGAGTCGGACTCTTTGCCATTTTAACCAGCTGCGTTTGGAAGTTCATAAACTCCACGAAAGAAAAGCTTTGTGGAATCTCTCAAAAGTGATTTTGTAGAGAAATAGTGGATCCTTTTGATGAAACCAAACGTATGTTTAAAGAAAAAAAAAGTGTGCAAAAAGTCCCTTTAAAGTTGGGCGCCGACTCATTCTCCCCAATCCAATAGTAAGTAAATAGTTAAATAGATAAATTAAACCAAAAAAAGACCAAACAATATTTAAATTGTAAGCAAAAATATGCAATATCAAAGTTCCCGAAATCCTGGACAACCCTGTATTTTGATTGATTTAAATGGCTTTATTGAATAAAGGTTTCTGTTTGAAATTGACTCATTTATCGGCCAACCCAATGGTACCAAAATCAAGATAGATGAATGGCTTGATAAAGCTCCTTAAGATCTCTTTCGCAAGAAATCTTTGCGTAAAACAATTACTTGTCATGTGTTACTTTTGAGCAAAGTGATTGAGTCAATAGTCCAATCCTTATCCACTGTTCATCATTGTTCAAATACTTTTTCCTTTATCCCAAATAAAGAACAGCTTTCTTTAGTTCATTTTATTGAGTGAAATCAGTTTTTTTTAAAGTTCTTGATGCTAAATAAGAAATGCGAAAATTTGACTGATAAACTGCCTGGCTAAATTGATTAAATTGACTAAACTGACTGACTAATGGACTAAATTGACTAAACTGACTGATTGAATTGATTAAATTGACTAAATTGGCTGACTAAATTGGTTAAATTGACTAAATTGGCTGACTAAATTGGTTAAATTGACTAAATTGGCTGACTAAATTGGTTAAATTGACTAAAGTGACTGAATAAATTGGTTAAATTGACTAAACTGACTGACTAAATTGATTAAATTGATTAAATTGACTACATTGACTCATTAAATTATAACACGATAAGATTTGTGGAGATAAAGCTGAATAATCACTCATGAACGTTCCCCTCATCAAAGTCTTTCACTAAATTCTTTTTTTCCAATTAAATCCACTATAAAATAACCATATAAAAGCTACATTCCAGGCTTTTAACTTCAAAAATTCAATGAAAAACCTCATTAGACTTTTTTAAATCTTAAAAGTCTAAAAGTTATGGTAAAAGTTCGTTTATAAACCTCAATGTGTAAGAGAAGATCCCTATTTCTGCATTTCTTAAGAAAATTGATGTCGAAATCTTTCTTTTTCTTTGCTTTTCAACTCATTCAATCTCTTTGGCTCCTGATAAGACTTCGAGAGACTCAAAAAATGCGAACATTCGATTCAATAATCGATTTTTTTAAAGGCTTAAAATTTTCTCTTGAAAATCTTGTTATTATTTAACTTTTTTGAAGGAAAACTTCTGAAAAAAACGATTTGAAAAACGATTTGAAAAACGTCATTGAAGTCATGAAATATTTACGCAAGAAAAAATTGCTTGTCAGTTGTTCCATTTAGCCAAAAAAATTCATGTTTTCTTTTGTAATCATAATTTTTTTTCTTTTTTCTTTCGTTTATTTTTCTTTTGTAAGCTTTTCTGCTTGAAAGCTGGTCAAAAAGTTATCCCAAACAGTCAAAATCCAAATTCCCAATTAGCAAATATTTTGTATTGATTGTTTTCTTGAATCTGGAAAGCTGTTCATTTTCGATTTGATTGCTAATAAGTGTAAAAAAACAAAGCGAGCTTTAATCACTTCACTTTTTCATTATTTTTTTTTACAAGGTAGAATTTTTCAGGTTCAATCTTTTGATCTCTGAAAAAATAGCTGTTGAAGTGGTTAAAACTCGTTTTTCTTTTGTAGACTTATTGAAAAGCAGACCAAGAAATGAACATCTTTCAAATGAACAGCTATCAAATGAACAGCTTCAAATGAACAACTTTCAAGTGAGCAGCTTCAAATGAGCAGCTACCAAATGAACAGCTTTTAAATGAACAGCTATCAAATAAACAGCTTTCAAGTGAGCAGCTTCAAATGAACATCTTTCCAATGAACAGCTTTCAAAGGAACAGCTTTCAAATGAACAGCTTTCAAATGAACAGCTTTCAAATGAACAGCTTCACATGAACAACTTTCCAATGAACAGCTTTCAAATGAACAGCTTTTAAATGAACAGCTATCAAATAAACAGCTTTCAAGTGAGCAGCTTCAAATGAACATCTTTCCAATGAACAGCTTTCCAATGAACAGCTTTCCAATGAACAGCTTTTAAATGAACAGTTTTCAAATGAGCAGCTTTCAAATGAACAGTTTTCAAATGGACAGCTTTCAAATGAACAGATTTATTTTAAACATATTTTGTTGTTGATAACTTTTTGGATTCTTGATAGAAATTGGCTTCTTGACAAGAATCCATTTCTCTATTTAACTTCAGCGCAAAAATGTGGCCAAAGATCAAGCCGCTCAAACCGGATCTCTCGCAGAATCTCGAACGACAACAGCTTTACGAGATCGAAGAGGAGAAAAAGTAAAAACTATTCAGTTTAACTATTAAACTATTAAAAACTAAACAATAATTACTATTCAGTACAGTACTTTTCACTAAATTAAAGCATTTAGTAGGTTATCGGACATTTGATACGCGTTACATTTGACATTTGACGCGTGGGAAGCGCTTTTTGTGGTTTGTGTCTGGGTTAACGAAGCGCGAATCTAAGAACTAAGAAACTAAGAAGCTAAGAAACTAAGAAACTAAGAAAACGCGATACCTATAGGCAGATTCAGACGATGCAAAGTCCACAAAAAAAAACCAAAATTTACATAGAACATTGCTTGGTAAACAGGAAAATGTGTTAAAAACGCGAAAAAAAAAATTCACGTATTAATTGTCCTGTTTTGCGTATCAAATTTCGCGTATCAAATATCACACAATCTTTAGGGCTTCATTGGCATACCAAGGAATTGTCTGGAAGACGGTGAAGATCGTGACTCTGCTCTCAGTAGCCGTTTTCACGACGCTCATTGTGTTGACTTATGTAAGTCGTTTAACAAATTCACAGCGATCCAAACCACCGCTGGGTCATTCTAATGACAATTATTTTTGGTATTAACTCGTTTTTAAGAATTTTATTAGTCATTTCGCAGAAAGCCGAAAGTAACTTTGTACTAGTTTTCAAGAGGAGATTCAGGGCTATCGAATGACTATATTAGTTTAGTTGATCTTTGAATTTACACCAAATTATTAGTAAAAAAGTTAATGACTACGTGACTGTACGCTCAAAACGTGTTAGCACGGTCTTCAAAGAAATCAAAAATCGAATTTTTTTCTGTCAGAGCAAACTGATTGCATAGATTGGTCTAGCTTAAACGAAAGGCCAAAAGTCATCTTTGACTTGTACTTTCTCTACTACAGAAATGTTAACCTAACGTTGTTTACCTACCGTAAATACTGTAATAGTAACCCACCTCGTATAGTGGCGTAGTCGCAAAAGTTTTTTTGTATTTCATTGTTTTCAAAGCGCCCGTACTTTCAAAAAATGCGTCTTTGGTATCAAAAAAAAGCTGAAATTCAGGGCTATTTTTTGATCCCTAAGCGCGCATTGTAGCGTAAACCAGTGTCGAGAAAAACTCGTTCAACGCTAGACTACGCAACACTCCGCATCGTCATTATGGGGGTGGGGTACTATTACAGTATTTACGGTATGTTAACCCTTCTCTTTTGCTTTTTTTGGATTTGCAAAGTTAATTTGTTCTCCGTTTCAAATACAGTCGAACCTCTCTATAACGTAACTCACGGGACGGCTACGTTATATAGAGGTTTACGTTATATAGAGTGCCGTTTTATATAGCTTAACGTCGGCCGGGACCGGTCACGCCTTACGTTATAGAGAGGTTCGACTGTACAAGCTTATTTGAAATTGAAATTCATTTGAGATTCATTTGAAATTCATTTGAAATTCATTTAAAATTATTTTTTCATGAGACTTTAAAATCTTTTTGCTATCGGTTTACTATCGAGATTTGATTGTATTTTGAAAATCTAAGATAAGCCAAAGCCTAATGACATTGAAACCATTAAAATCCGACTTTTAGAGCACCAAATGTCTCAGGGATCACCGCCGTTACGTCGATGCTTTTGAGGAATTCAAAAATGAGTAAAGAGCAAATATTTAAATGTTTTAGATTAATTAAAAAAAATATTTTTTAGATATGAAAGAAATTACGATAGTGTTGAAGAGGAAAACTATCGTTTCGATGTTTTCGTGCGGAATATGAAAGAATGGGAAGAAGAGGAGAAAAGAGTTGGCGGGGATTTGGGTAAAGAGTGAGAGATTCTTGGAATAACTGAATATTTAGATCTTGACGTCACACAGTTTGCCGATTACACTGATGACGAGTTGAAAAGGGTAAGAATGACTAGTACTGTACGCTGAATTTTTTCAAACTCATTGTCCCAGGTGTACGTTGAGCTCAAAAATCTAAACACACTCCTCCTGGTGCACTCAATTCTTTATTTTTCTCGGAACAAAGATTCGTTTCCAAAGAAAAGCATAGAATTGAGTGAATCAGAAACCAATTATCTTAAAGAAAATGGAATTGAGCCGTGCAAAAGTCCACTGAAATTACTTGTTTTCTAATAGAAGGATTTCTATGTAAGAATGTTTTTTATGCTAGCTGGATAGCAACTTAAAAAAGGGTCATGCTAGCTGAGTAGCAACTATTGGGTTGGTGAATTGAAAACTGCGGGACTTTGAACTAAAATTCATTCAACATAAAACCATCAATTCATTCCAAATAATTTCCATTATTATTGACGACTTCTGCCCACTTTAAACTTTAAAGGCAATTTGCGGACTCCTCTTTCGTAGTAGGATTTTGGTTTTGATTCGAAAAACTTTCAAAGCCAATTTTTGGCTGCTTCTTCCGAATCGAAGTGTTCTCCCGCAAGCTCATTACTCATCATCCGGAATCAATAGTAATCAAAAGGGGCGAGGTCCGGACTGTATGGGGAATGCGCCAAAAGTTCCCAAACAAGCCTATTTATCATTAGAGCGAGTCAGTTTTGCAACATGAGGGCGCGCGTTGTCGTGAATGAGAACGATCTTTGACTTAGAGGGCCTATTCTTCTTCAGGGATTCATTCACCTTTCCCAACTCTTCACTGTATTTGATTGCCTTAACGGTCGCAACTTAAAAAATGGTCATGCTCGCTGAGTAGCAACTATTGGGTTGGTGAATTGAAAACTACGGGACTTTGAACTAAAATTTATTCAACATAAAACCATAAATTCATTTCAAATAATTTCCATTATTATTGACGCCTTCTGCCCATTTTAAAGGCAATTCGCGGATTCCTCTTTCGTAGTAGGATTTTGGTTTATGTGTGAGACAAGTGTGAGACTCAAAAATGGAGGACTGGAGATGTCTCAGTTTGAGCACTTCCTTTAAAAGAAACCCATTTTGGTGTCAATAGAAAAGTTGTAGAGAATCAAAAATTAGGCTTATAACCAAATTTCCAAAAAGATACACTTAGTGGTTTCGCTTAAAATGCAAGTTTTGTGAAAATTCGTAAATTTGGCATTTCTTGAAAACCAGTTTTTGAATCGTTCTGAAAATTTGGATATAAGCTTGATTTTTGATTCTCTACAACCTTTCTATTGACACCAAAATGGGTTTATTATGAAGAAAGTGCTCAAACTGTGACATATGACAATAGCCCGCAGTTTTCAATTCACCAACCCAATAAAAAAAGAATCCTATCCCCGCAAACTAAATTTGTGATCTGCGAATTAACATATTGCATTAAAATTTACATTTTAAAAAGTATAAAAGGGAATTTGTTGCAGTTTTAAAAAGCTTTAAAAATCCGCTAAAGCTTGAGCAAAACTTGAGCCTCAGCGGGATGCAGGGTAGCAATGTCGGCCATAATTTACGTGAATAAATCGTTTCCTTTGTTGCGTTGTAATCCTTTGTCTTTTGTTGCGAAATAAATTCAAACAGGTAAGAGTCGAGGTGTTGTTCGTGGTGTGCTCCTCTTTGGCGTTTGTTTCTCCACTTGGTTTCAATTTTATCCCCGCACTTCGATATGCAAATTTAAGCTTAAATTCAAAATTGTATAAATTTGCGGGGATAAGATTCACAAGTACCTAAAGAAGTTATTGTTTAGATTTTTGAGTTTTACGATTTTAATTTTTACTTTTTGTCGTACCCATTGTACAACAGTTTAACACCAATACAAGAGCTTTAAACGTTGAAATGTTTCATGGAGTTTGTAGGATTTTATTAACTGATTGCAAAAACTTAGGTGCTAATGTCCGATATGAAAGAGATGCCGATGGAAGGTTCAACTCTGAAGAAATCCTATATTCCCGAGGGTTTCAAACGACCCGAATCGATCGACTGGCGTAGCTCGGGAAAAGTGAGCTCCGTGAAAGATCAGGGTTGGTTGAGTGTTGAAATTTTTAACCAAAACCAAAGGTACAGTCCTACAGTACGTCAAAAGTAGACATCAAAAATTGACATTGCCTAGTTTTATTCCATAGTTGGTGGCCAGCTTGCAATCGTTTCCGTCTCTTCCCGTGTAAGGGTAGACTTTCTCTTCAACGAGATCGTTTTTCTGAATCCATCTCGACAAATATAGACAAATATAGGATAGCCTAGTTTATTCGATAAAATGATCAGTTTTAACTCTTTTGTAAATGCTCAAAACCAATTCGACAAAATTTCAGCTCAATGTGGCAGTTGTTGGAGTTTCGCGACGGTGGCGAGCATCGAATCAGTTCACGCAATCAAGAAAAATCAATTGGTGTGGATTGATAAAAGTCTAAATTTCTTACATATAGACAAGATTATCAGCTATTTTCTAGAATTTAATCAGTACTAGATCTGAGTTTTTATTTTATCCTTTCAAAAATCATTCACAAATTACAGTACTCACTTTCCGAGCAGGAGTTGATTGACTGTGAGCACGATCAAAAGGGATGCAATGGCGGATATCGACCATATGCTTTCAAGTAATAAACCTCGTAAGCTCAATACAAATTTTGTCCAGATGGATTCAGAAAAACGGTCTCGTTGAAGAGAAAGCCTATCCTTACACGGGAAAAGACGGAAACGATTGCAAGCTGGCCACCAATGGAACGGTTGGGTTTTTGTGTTTGAATGAGTTTATTAGTCGTGCAACTTGGTCAAAAAAAACACTAACTTTTTTAAATACTTATTTACATATCCAATTTCATTACAATTTATGAAATTTCCAGAAGCGGATCTACATTGATGACTACAATATTCTCTCGAAAAACGAAGACGCCATCGCTGATTGGATTGCCTCCAAAGGACCGGCTTCTTTCGGTGAGTTATTCAATCTCATGATCTCTAATGATTTCGCATCTTTGAAGTGAATCTGGATCAACCCAAAAGAAGCGCTTTTAAAGAAGCTATCATAATCTTATTAGCTTTTAGATGAAAATGTGTAGATTTCCAAGGCATACAGTACATTACAGGCATGAGCGTCACAAAGCCTCTCTTCTCCTATCGATCTGGAATCTTCCATCCAACCAAGGAGGAGTGCTCGGAAAAATCACATGGATCTCATGCATTGACCATCATTGGATACGGTAATTGATTAAAAGCTGGTGAAATTGAAAACCTTGATTAAATGACACAAGTTTCAGGTTTCGAGAACGGGCATCACTATTGGTGGGTGAAAAACTCGTGGGGTAGCCGCTGGGGAATCGACGGATACTTCAAATTGGCACGAGGTAAGTGGGGAAATGATTTTGGACAAGAAAATGACCTGCCAACCCAAGAAATTTTCAGCAGGGACTTAAAAAATTGCAAGAATCAAATATGAGTTGCATTTCAATAGAGCAGTTATTGGCGAAAATTTGAAAACCCAAAAGATTTCCAGGCCACAACGTTTGTGGAATGGCCGAGATTGTCGTGGCTCCGATCATTAATTGAACAACTCGAGAAGAGATACAAAGTTTGGTGCTACCTCTCCATTTGCTAATGAATCTGTTGATAAAATTCTAGAAGCTCCATGAAACATTACAATGCCGAACTTACAAATCGATTGTTACCCATTTCTTTTCTAAACATTGCCTTTTATTACAGAAAAACGGTTCTAACATGACATTTTTATCTTTTCTTTGACTCATTCTTCTCGAGATCGGTGACGTCACGGTCGAAATCAATGATGAGACTGTTATCCTCGAATTGACTCTTCTCCCTAAAGAAGATTTTTAAGTTTAAAATACAAATAAGTAATAGATATTACAGGTAAAAATAGTACAAAATTATTTATAATACCTTACAATTAAAGAGCGTACCGATAGTACTCCTCTTCCGAATCTTGCGTGTGACTCTCTTCCCATTCGGTGCTCAATGTCTCCTCCTCAACCACATCATCACCATCATCGGCTTCTTCATCGCTCAACTCTTGCCACGGATCGCCTGTACGCCATTTCGTCGGAAAACCGTCAATTTCTTTAATCTAAAGTAGACGATATTGCTTTTCGAAGTCATAAAAATGGCACCTGAGGCAACGTTTGAGCTACACGGTTTCGATATTTCTGCGTATTCGAGTAGATATTCCCATTCATCTCAAAAGCAACCGATTGAAGTGATGGAAGAGTGGCAAGAATTGACAATTCATCCCATGAAGTGAGCTAAACATTTTGAATGATAAAAGCTAGGTCTCTGCAATAAAATATCATGATAATTTAAACTTTTAATCATCATGACTATCATTTTAACTTAAAGACCTTGTTTGCACGAATCCAAAATCGACTAAGCGAGTGAAGATGGCCAACATTCTCAATGCATTCGATGCGATTTTCATTCAAGTCGAGGCACTTCAGCTTCTCCAATATTTCGAGTCTAAACTTTACAAAGTTAAATGATAACCGTAAATAAAGCACAAATAGAACGCACCCTTTAATTTGAGAGATCCCATTCTGGGCGAGGCTCAATTCCTGAAGATTGTGCAACTCGTTCAGACCCGTGATTTCAGTGAGAGCATTTCCAGGAAGAGAAAGAGTCTTCAGTGATTCACCAAGTGGTTCCAGACCTAAATAAAGTCAATCAATTTGGGTGAGTTTTTGATTTTGTTAATGGATAAGAGATTATCCAACTATGAAAAACTGACCTTCAATGACACGAATCTGATTGGCTCCGAGAAAGAGCTTTTCCAACTTTTTGAAGATTGCCAAGTCCAGCGATTTTAGTGATCCGATTGTCGCCAAGTTCAAGTAGGGTCAGCTCCGATAACTAAGCAAAAAGTAAATTAAAGTTCTTTAAAACATTATGTGGTAAAATCGCACCGTATCCAATCCTTCAATTTTTGTGAGCTTGTTGTTGACAAGGTAAAGAGTTTCCAAACGTGTTAATGTAGATAAACCTAAATTTTAGATGCAAGTAAACAAAAAAGCGAACCAAGTCAACCTCCAATTTTTGTGATTCGGTTAAACGAGAGATCCAACAAGCGGAGATTCGTTAATGTTTCCAAGCCCCCAATCTTCTCAATCTAAACAAAACCTTGATTAATCCATTAAAGCAATAAAGTCACTTGATTGTCATACAAAGAGAGCTTCGTAAGAGACGTAAGCTCGTTAAGGCCTTCGATCTTCTTTAAAAGATTCCATCTAAACAAGAATATTTTATGAGGGTTTAAAAACAAACCGCAGACAAAGAGAATCAAGCTGTGGCAGTGAAGGAATGTTAGGAATCTTTGAGATTCGACATCGGGTTAAATCCAACGATCGCTCATCTTCCAACACATCGACATCTAAAATCAAAAATGTATTAAATAGATTAGTTCCCATAAAAATACAAAATGCACCAACCAAAAGAATCTTTTATTACGTGAGTGCCATCGTTTGATCGAATGATTTCGAAGGTAATCGTCTAAATCAAAAATATAATTGGTGAAATTTCATAAATCCTTCCAGTAACATGTTCTAACTCAACAAAGAGTGGCACTGTTATCCTTTAAAACACTCTAAATCCCCAAGAAAATGCTATATTTCAAAGCAGTCCTATAGTTTTATCACCAAAATGTGGCAATAACTTTACTGATCATCCTGAGAAGTTGATAAAATACGTGTCAATCTCCTTTAACACTAGCAAAATACGTAGTTAACTAACGTTTTAAATTTATCAGTACCAAAAGGTGTGACACAAGAAATAAAGCTGTTGGTAAGCTAAACAACAAATTGACAAACTGTATAACTAACGCTTTTTTTGAAAAAAACTCAAAATCTTCTCACCTCACCGTCCATCTTGATCTTCTCGCAACGAATGAATTGAATTCATTTTTGCGGAGAACACGGTAAATGCAAAATTTTTCAAGATGCAAAGTTTAAATCCCCAAAAATTTTAAAGTATTGCTTTTTAGCAAACGACTGAAACTACCGTACTCTATCAAAACGTTTTTTTGTGTTTCGCTCGTCTCGTTTCATTTCGTTTCATATTTTCACTTGTGTTGGAAGTTTTTAAAATTTGATTACTTGCTTTTTTTTTTGCTTTTTTTGCTTTTCACTCAAAGATTTCCATTTTTCAGTGATGTATCCACTTTTGAAGACGCCCAAAGAAGCGCTTTTGAAGCCAGATGAAGAGAAGCAAGCTGGTGTCAAGTATTCTCCCGAGTGAGTTTTGTTGACGTTTATGAGTTAACTTGCCTGCTGTGGCTCTTAATATGAGCTAGAAACTAGTTAGTCGACAGGGTGTGTTACAAAAAGCCCACCTGTTTTGCCTGTTTTTATGAATTTTTGACCCGCTTGGCTTTAAATTTGAGTAAAAACTCCAGATTTCACGCGGGATCCCTCAATCTCCACTCATCAGTTATCATAGTTACATTATATAAAGGTACGAAAAATGAAAAAGCTTTACAATAAAAATTTCTGTTATAAATCATTTTAGTTTTAGTCGCTCACCCTATCAACGCTGTGAGAATGGTGGCAACGAGCAACAACAGCCACGAAAGAAAGGTCTGGGTCACTGGTGCATCCTGTTACTTCTCGCGGTTCTCTGCTTCATGGTCTTGGTAAGTTGGGTTGTGATTCTTTCAAGGAAAAAAACCATCACTCTTTAGGTTAGATATTCTCTCAACAAGCATTCAGAATCTGTGGAAAAGATTAGACGCTTCGAGGCCGCTTTCAACAAATACGTCGCTGAGTAAGTGTTTATCGTTTGCTATTTTACTCGACTTGTTCAGTTACAAAAAGGAGTACATGAATACAGCTGAACGGAATTATCGCTACAACGTTTTCACTGAAAACATGGAACGCTGGGAGAAAGATGAGCGCGTGCTTGGCGGAGACATTGGTAAGTTGAAGAGGGGTGATCAAGGCTATAGGGCTGTCTTAAGAACTAAATTGTTGCATACTCTTCTATCAATTTCTTTAGATCTTGATGTCACCGAATATGCTGATACTCCGTTGGCTGAAATGAAGAAGGTTTGTTCACTTAGCAAGTGAGAATTTTTTGTATTTAGAAACTTATGGCCTTGCGCTTAATCCACTCCTGCACAATTACGATGCGACCGGTGATGATATCAACAATGAGATAAACAACTTCTTCCGATTTGATACTCCTGATGAAAAGCTGAGAGCCAAGCGAGCGGCTCGTTATTCATCGACTAATTGGGTTAAGAAAGGATTTGTAACGCCAGTAAAGAACCAAGGTAGCGTTTGGTTTTTTTTGTTTTTATGTAATTGTTGGATTTTAGGAAGCTGTGGAAGTTGCTGGGCGTTTGCCGCTGTGGCCGCTGTTGAATCAGCTTATGCAATTAAAAGTGGTGAATTGGTTTGTTTACAGCTTTCAACAAGAAGAAACCTTGTTCTAGTTGAATCTCTCGGAGCAAAAATCTCGTTGATTGCGATAATAAGGAGTCTGTTGGATGCGATGGCGGATATCCAGATATGGCTATCAAGTAAAACTTACGAGAAGCTTTCATCAATAATTTTTAGGTACATTGCCAAGCACGGTATTCAAAGCGAAGTTGAAAGCCCCTATTTTGGCAAAGAGTCAAAGAACGCTACGTGCAAACGCGGCTCTATATTTGATGTACGTTTGAAATGTTAATCGTCGAGATGTTTCAACTTTAGATTCGACGTTTCGTGAAAGGACCAAAGAAATTGCCAAAGTATGAGGAAGCAATGGCCGCATGGGTGTTAAAGAAGGGACCAATTGTCATTAGTAAGAGAATGTTTTGCATTTGCTTTTGATTTACAATTTTTAGCAATGGCTGTTCCCAGTGCTTTCTATTCGTATCGTGACGGTGTCTTTAATCCACCTTTTGATTGCAAGAGCCAGAGCGATGGATGGCATGCAGTGACGGTGGTTGGATATGGTTGGTTGAAAGAATAAGAAAGTTTAACTTTAATTTTAGGAGCCGACAACAACAAGCCATATTGGTTGATTAAGAACTCGTGGGGAAAACGCTGGGGAATCGACGGCTACTTCAAGCTTGCTCGAGGTGAAGTTTTGCTTTTGCAATAAACCTAAAACTAGAATTTTCAGTTATTCTAGGCGTTTTCACTTAATGTTATTTCACTGAATGGTTTAGGTATCAACGCTTGCGGCGTCGCTGACGATCCGACGGGTGTCATCGTCAAATAAATTGTTCGGTTACCATTCGCACTCGATGTTTTCAGTACTTTCATATTGTATAGCTCTTAAAAATTCAATGTAACCAATATTTTGAACTCACAGTTCGTTGTTAAACTTACGTCATAATTGAATAAATTTATTTCTTTATTTAAACAAACTTTAAGACCAAAAATCAGGCAATGGGAAGCAGGCAGTTGAAATTCAAAGCTAAAGATAAAGAGTGTGACTATTCAGTCTCAAATCCATCAGCTGCTTCTTCGTCGGCAGTGGCCTCCTGAAAAGTGGGAATGAACTATTAGTCTTGTTAAATTTTGTTCGTACTTGATACTGTTGATATTCGGAGATCAAGTCATTCATATTGCTTTCAGCTTCGGTAAATTCCATCTCATCCATACCTTCGCCGGTGTACCAATGAAGGAAAGCTTTGCGGCGGAACATGGCTAAAATTGTTAATTGTTGTTCTTTTGTAATAAAATTGTTGAACTTCTTGGTTTGCAAGGATTTCATTGGATAGCAAGTTTTTTTCTTTTTTAAGTAAACGAGCTTTTTAGAATTGGTTAGACTAACCTGTGAATTGTTCGCCAACTCTCTTGAAAAGCTCCTGGATAGCGGTGGAATTACCGATGAAGGTAGCAGCCATCTTCAGACCACGAGGCGGAATGTCGCAAACCTAAAATTTCAAGGAATTTTTCTCTTTTTTTATTAAGTTTTCAAGGTGTGCACTTACAGCGGTTTTCACATTGTTCGGAATCCAGTCAACGAAGTAGGACGAGTTCTTGTTTTGCACATTCAACATTTGCTCATCGACTTCCTAAAAAGTTGATAGCTCTAAATCAAATTTCATTTGGCATCCCCTTTGCGGTCACGATTTTCAAACTTTTTCAAGACAATTTTGCAAGGTTTTGGAGTAAACCATCGGCAAAAAAGCAAAAAGCTCTCTTCGGGATCCCAAGCCATCTCCGATCCACGTACTAACCAGGCTCAACGTTGCTTAACTCGCCAGATCGGATGGGGTCCCGTGTTTTCAACATACTGTGGTCGCAAGAGGATATTGCCTGAGAGACGGTTGAAATAGTGAAAGAGATCCTTGATCACCGAAGAGACGCAGACGACGTGACCTTTTGTGTGTCTCGTAGGAAAGAAACGGCATTTGGCACACGGCCTTCACAGATACCGCCACAGAGATCACCCATTTCGGTTTAATTACCCAAGTTTGAGGTTGGCATTAACCCCAAGACCTTGTAAAAGTGCCTTAAAAAAATTTTGGAACGCGCTCTCGTAAAGGGATGCACAAACTGTTGTGAATTGCAGCACTCACTTTCATGCTCATTATTCCGCGGAAGATGGCCGCAGCTGTGAGATATCGTCCATGTCTTGGATCACATGCGGCCATCATATTCTTTGCATCGAACATCTGTTGCGTGAGATCTTGTACCTAAAATCGAAATGAAAGTGAAGTCTTGGTTAACAATATTGAGTCATCGTTGAAGAGGTTTTGATTTCGATACTCACTGTCATCGCTCGATAGACATGGCTACCCCGAGCAGTTAACGGAGCGAAACCTGGCATGAAAAAGTGAAGACGAGGGAAGGGAACCATGTTGACAGCTAATTTTCGGAGATCCGCATTCAGCTGAAAGGTTTTTGGATTTGAAAGGAGAAATTAAAAGTAGAAATGACGATAGAGTAATTTTAGAAAGATAAGATAAAAATATTTGGCTACTGTTTTGGAAAAAAAACAAATTTATGATTGAATCAATTCGGATTCAATCCAATTTTAGTTTTTTGATCGGATTTGGATGCTATAGTAGTTCGGGGAGCAAGTGTACATTCATCTCTATTGAACCAAAGCTTTTTTTTTGCTTCTAAGGTTTTTAATGGCATAGCTTCTTAATTTGGTACTGATTTAAACCTTAATAACTGTTTACAAGCAGTTATTGAGGTTTTAAGCCTCTTAATTCGGTCCCCCTCTACCTCTAAACGCAGTGGAAATCGAGCCACTATTGAAGACTCGGAATTCAAGGTTTAAGAGAACTCAAACTGACATAAAAGTTGTTTAGAATGGTTTAGAAATGCTTCCAATGGATTCAGTGCAATTGATTACTCCAAAAAAGTTTTTAAAACTAGTAGCAAGTATGAAAAAACCGGCGTGACAAACTGGGCCCCGAACTAGGGCACTAGAGCACTAGGGCACTAGAGTATTTCGACAAACTACTAGAGCATTCGGATCTGATTTAAATTTGATTTGACTCGATTCAAAATCTCATTTTTTGAATGGATTTGATTTCTTTTAATCAAAGTTTATGAAAAAGATCATCTTTAAATGTTTTTGTTTTCTCAAACCTGTCCAGGGAAACGAAGACATGTGGTCACTCCACTCATCGTCATCGAAACGAGATGATTGAGATCTCCATAGGTTGGAGTCGTCAATTTCAGCGTTCGGAAGCAAATGTCGTAAAGAGCCTCATTGTCAATGCAGAATGTTTCATCCGTGTTTTCCACATAAAATTTTTAAGTTTAAAGCAGGAAACTTGTAAAGTAAGCTTTTTCAAGCCAAATCCCACCTTTAGCTGTAATTCAACAAAGCAACAAAGCTAGATTAGCTAAAAAACAACTTCTATCTACCTTCCTAAAGCACTTTTAGCTAGATAAATCACGTTTTTGTTACCAAAATCACTAAAATTCATTGATAAAATTGAAAAATTTTAACGTTGAACAGAAATTTGCATTTGATAAACCCCAAAAAAACACTCACCAATTGATGAACTGATAAAGTGGCGTTATAAGGCTCGACCACGGTGTCCGAGACCTGAAAAGCTCTTTTTCTCGACCCCGAATCAGTCCTCGGTAGTATAGTGGTTAGTATCCGCGTCTGTCACATGCGAGACCCGGGTTCAATTCCCGGCCGGGGAGAATGTTTTGCTTTTTTGCAAATTCTTGTGATACTTTAGTTTTAAAATACCTTTTGGCGAGGAACAACAGAGAAAGTGTTCATAATTCGATCCGGATATTCTTCGCGAATCTTCGAGATCAACAAAGTTCCCATTCCGGAGCCAGTTCCACCGCCAAGCGAATGAGTTAGTTGGAAACCCTAAACGAGAATTTCGACTTTAGATTTAGACAAATGAGTAGATTTAAACTTGTTTATAGTTAGCGTATAATAGAAAATCGGCTACGGAAGGCAAAAAATGAACTATGAACTGTGCTATGAACTATGACCGTTCAGAATGTTTTAGCATGAGAAATTTGCATTCAAAGGCTCATAACTCTCTTGAAAGTCAATATTTTTTCAAACAGTTTCCAGATAAATAATCCGCAAACATTTCTCTTCATTTTAACCCCTAATTGAAGTGAATCGAGTGCCTGTGAACCTTTTTAGACGAGCTGAAAGGGAAATAACTTACGCAAAAATCAAGAAACCTAGTCCTGAATTTTTAAAGAGGTTTTGCCCATTTATTTAGCTTTTTTTTTGTATAGTAAATCTTGCCAAAACCTACCTGTAGACAATCACAACCCTCAGCCTCTTTTCGAATCACGTCCATCACTTGATCGACGAGTTCCGCTCCCTCCGTGTAATGACCCTTGGCCCAGTTGTTACCAGCACCCGATTGACCTGGTTTTTAACTTTTTCGTTCGAAATCTTTTAATCTATAGAAATGATTTTTGATAATACTAGATGTTCAATATTTATGGAGACTTTTAAGCTCGCAGATCGTTTAGCACTCTCAAAATTTGTTTATGAGAAAAATCGTTAAGAAAGCATTGTATAGAAGTTGGAAAGAACTCAATTTTCTAGATTATTTTTTAGAGTTTATTTAATTTGTTATACAAAAACCGATCGAAAAAGGCAAATCGATCAACAAATTCCACCAAAAGAAATCAGATTTGGGTTGTTCTTGTTTAAAAAGTCCACTTTTTAACAGTTTTAAAATCTATGGGACATTAAAAATGTTAGAATCATATTTTACAATATTTCTTTTTCATATTTGTTAGTTTTCTTTGAAGAAAGGCTAACGAGAGTTTTGTGAGAAAATCAATTGATTTAATCCGATCACAATAAGCGTTTTAGGCGTTTCTAAGCAAGCAACCGCAAAAGGATATAATTTTGAAAAAAAGTAACTTAAAGTTGTTTATGTTATTGACACCGTAAATACTGTAATAGTACCCCACCCCATAATGACGGTGCAGTGTGTTGCGTAGTCTAGCTTTGAACGAGTGTTTCTCGACACTGGTTTATGCTATAATGCGCGTTTAGGTATCAAAAAATAGCCCTAGATTGCAGCTATTTTTTGATACCAAAGACGCATTTTTTGAAAGTACAGGCGCTTTGAAAAAAATGAAATACCAAAAAACACATTGCGACTACGCGCCTGTACGAGGGGGGTGGGGTACTATTGCAGTATTTACGGTAAGTATGTTTACTTTTTAGCATTAAACTTGTACAAAATAGGCTTTAAATCTAGTAATCTATTGGTTTCCATAAATATTGAACACTATGATTTTCATTTTCCTATCTTTCAGAAGATTTTAATTTAAAAAGAAGAATTCCTCAACAGGATTTCCACAAATGAAAACAGCTTTTTTGCCTTTTCTGCTTCCCAACACTTGACTTTCTTTAGATTTTCTTTGAGCTAATGAATTAATGAATTAACTGCTCTAAGGCGTTGAATGAATTAACTAAAGCTTCGATACCAAAAATAAAGTTATCCGGTCGAAAAAGTTCGCCAATTGGCGAGCTCCGAATCGAGTCCATTGTGCCCGGCTCGAGGTCGACGAGAACGGCTCTGAATTTTTATATCAATACTTTCATTCTTCATTGAATTAAGAATCAAGCCTACTTGAGATCAAGGGTTATTTGAGTCAAAATTTAATTAAGAAACCCACTTTAACGATTCGAGAATAAGAAATGAACTTTTTAGAGCTTTTCAAACGTCAAAAATGTAGCTGTAAAGAATGACACAAAAGCTCGAAGCCACCTTGTTTTTCGATCGTCAAATTCAGCTTTTAAGATAACAAAAAACGACCTAACGCTGAATATTCTTATAAAAGTTTGCAGTTTCTATTAAATTTAAGGCTTTGCAAGCAAATTGGCAAACGTTTTAGTTGGCATTATCACTAGAATCAATCCAAGTGCCTAACCTCTTGAATTTCTCTCAAAAACCATCTAAATTTTCTGAAATTTCTAATTAAATGTAGTCAATCAAAAGCAAAATTATTTTATACTATTTCTAGATGAATAGCAAAATTTTAGATTGATTGAAGCTGAAACGCAAAACTTGTAGCTCTAAAAAGTTGACGAGTTGACGATTCGGAGAATCGGATTTCAAGTTTTAACGAAAGAAAATAGGCATGTGTACTCGATGAGAAGGTTCTGCTTTTGGAATGTTTTCTAGACCGAAATTTCATCTAGATTTCGAATTTCTAAATTTTTTTTCAAGAAATTTTCTGCTGGCCCTAAAAACGAGTGTCAACCGAACTAAAAAAACCGAACATTTGTGTCATCCTGTAGTTGTTTTTTGATGCAAACTTTGAATGTCTAGCATCGTTTTTTGAGTTCTAATTTCCAGATTACCGTAAAACCTCTATTAGAGCGGCACGCTCCATTAGGACGGCATCCTCTAATAGAGCGGCACCACCAAATGCTAATTTTGACAGCTCACAGTCGAACTTTTTCCAAAAAAATGTGCTCGAAAAGGGTTTAAAATGATGCATATGGGTTCTAATTATAATTTAAAAGTCATGTCAGTAAAATTCAAATCGATTCTAGAAAAAAATCATCAAGGGGGACCACAGGGTTTTTGGAGGGCCGGACATCCGGTGGTAGAACCATGGACATACCTCTCTAAGAGTAGTGCACCCGGCCGAGCCGAGTTGATGAATATTTTGCGGTTTCCAAGCTTTTGCAGAAGCTCAACACTCTAATCCCCCACTAGATCTCATCGTCAGCTACATTTTCCGACCCCACATCGATAGGTTCTGATAAGCGCTTTTCGAGATTTCGAGTAATTTAGGCGACGCTCAAGGTGCACCACTATTAGAGAGAATACGGTACTTTGAATTTTCCTACAGACTAGAAGATACTAAACGGAAGCTTATTCCAAACCCTACTAATATGGTTCGCAAAAGAATGATAAAGGGAAAGATGATGGGGATGGGAACCGACCAAAATTTCGAGCAATTTAGGCAACGCTTACACCAATATTAGAGAGAATACGGTAACTTTTTTGTTTTCAGCGTGTTTTTCGTACTTTTCAGAGCATTTCCAATGGAACTAGAGTGATTTTAAGAAAAATAATTTTTTTTCAACCATGTGGTACCCCCTTATGTGATTTTATGACCGCTCCAAAAAATGGCACTGGAAAATAGAGCTGAGTGCCGCTCTAATAGAGGATTTACGGTATCTCACTTTCCCCCACCTTGGCACATATTTCCCATCTTGTGCCTCATTATAGTAGACGTTGATGCGCTCTTTTTGTAGATCGACTTCTCCACGGTATTGGCCGTCCATCTGCACCCCGTGCTCATCGGAGATCACCTCCCAGAACTGAAAATTGAAGGCATTTTGTGGAAAATTACTTTCTTTTACTATATTATTCAACATAATCAATAAACAGCTGAATACTGAACCAAAAAAAAGCTGAATCTTGTATTTATCAATTGACCTTATCAATTGGCACATTGTCGATAGGAATTGCGGAATTGCAGAATCATTTTTATGTTACCTTTGAGCCAATTTGGTTCCCGCATTGGCCGGTTTGCACATGGACGATCTCGCGCATTTCTTCTCACGCTAAGCAAGGAAAAAAATGGATTTAAGAAGATTTTATTGCAATCTATTCAAATAACATTTAACAAAATGACTTTTGAAAGAAAAAATGGCTAGAACAAACTTGAATTTTCCAAAGAAATGACTTTAGTATTGCTTTAGTAAATGAGGTTTCAAAGTTTTGTTTCAAAGCTTCAAAGTATTTCACTTGAAAAGCAAAGAGGCTTAAAAGTTAGCTAGAATAGAAAAGTTTCAAGTTCAAATTCACAAATTTACAAATTTCAAGTTTAAATTCATGACAAAAGCCTATGAAATTTGATTTTGAATAGCTCAAAACGACAAAAACAAATCCGAGCTGGATTTTTGCAAATTTCAAATCAAAATAAAGCTCAAATAGTTCAACATTTTCCTTTAAGAAGATCTTAGTTTAAAAATAAAACAATAGAAACGTTTCCAGGAAGTTTTTCAGGCCAATGTGAGGGCGGAGAGAGCTCTGGATGAGCCCAACATGCATGCATTTTCAATAAACGCAATTCTTTTTGGTCATCTTGTCTTTTCCTTTCTTTTCTCAAAAAGATCATATTCAATGCTCATAAATGGAGTCATTTTGTGCACAGACTTTGCCCATTTTCATGCATTTTTGATGCAAACGGAATGATTTGAGCCTATCCCTTTTGGGTCTAACAAAAGGAAAGGATAATGACCTGTTCACACGCAAAGAGATCCTGATTCGAAGGAGGAAATTTGAAAATCTGTCTGGAAAAGATTTTGGAGTAAAGTAATATTCTTCTAATATTCTAATATCCAATATTCTTCTAAAATTCCTATTTTACTGATTGATCAATAAAAAAATCTTGCTGCGAGTGGGGTTCGAACCCCACACAATGAGGATTTTATTGTTATCTTTTACAGTATTTATACTTTAAGAGCGTAAAGTTCGATATGTTTGGCTACTTATAATGGCAAATATCATTTGAAAAGAACAAAAACGATTTTGCTGCGAGTGGGGTTCGAACCCACGCGGACTTGCGTCCATTGGAACTTAAGTCCAACGCCTTAGACCACTCGGCCATCACAGCAAGGAGTTGCTTCGTTTTAAAGGCGGGGTACAACTCACTTTCGGGACGCTTTTTAAAAAAGTTGTTTCCTGGGGTACTAAATGGCGAAAAGTGGCCTAGTAAAACTAGCTAAAACCCTTGTAAAAAAAGTTACTAGGGTTGTAAAACGAAACTCCGCCCTGACTTTAAAATTTGCATTTGTTTTCATGCCAATTTGGTGCCTATCAAAACCTTAATTACGATGGGACATTAAAAAGCTCCAAAATACTTGCATCGTAATCATTTTTACTATAGTTCTTGAATGTTTATGTTGGGCTTTGCTATATATGACGTGCTTGTGTTTTAAATTACTAGACTATTACTAGATTCGTGCGCTTTTTTGTACGATATGCCAAAAACGAGTTTACTCAGGCACGATGTTGAAAACAGTCAAGATTGTGCAATAGATAACAAATGAAACTCAAAAATGTAATGCAACTGAATCAATTTGCCGGAAATATGGATAATTCTGATCGAAAAAGGGAATCAGACCTAATTTTTAATAAATTTTTAGAGTTCAAATGCAAATTGATTCTTGTGATATCAGTGATATTCAATCGCGAAAAACGCGCTAGTAAAACTAGTTACAATCCTGTAATCGAACTTACAAGGATTGTAAAAATAGTCAAAATGAACGGAAAGCCTCTTCCAAGGGTTGTAAAAAAAATTCGAGGCGATGATTTCAAATCACCCGGGGAGTAGTTTTCAAAGTTCAGGCGCTCTAATAAAAAGGCCAAACTTTTGGAGACTCGAAATATATCCATTCGAGCTCGCCGTTTTTTCTAGACATTATAAAGACCATAAGTAGCTAATGAAAACAAGAAAAACATCCCAGAAAGCAAAAAAACAAGCAACATTGTAATAGCTGCGAATACTTTTAAATTATTTTTACTTTTAATACGTTAAAAAGTTACAAGGCTTATAAAAGCGATTACGCTCAAGATTTTTCACGTAAAATGAGATTGTAAGATTTGGGTTATAACAGGGTTGTAATAGGGGTTTTAAACACAATATTTGCACTCAAACGAGCTTTGTTTTAACCAGACTTGGGCATTGGGTTGGGGTGGATTGGGTTGAGCGTGACCAAGCCAACAAGAAAATTCTCAACAAGAAAATTAATAACACGCTTTCTGGAGCTAATAAACAATTTTTATGAAAAGCGGCTATTCAATTAGGTTACTGAATACTTTTATTTTCTCGCAAAATGGTTTTAAAGAAATTTATACCCTTTAAAGTCACTTTGTTGACTTCTTTTTCATTTTGTTTTTCTCTAACGAACACTTTTTAAAGTTTTTTGCCAAACGATGTCAAAGTTACCAGGTCATCTACACCAAAAATCTAATCAAGAGAAAAAATGAGTAATACTATCAAATATCATTTGATAAAAAAGTAAAAAGATCCTGCTGCGAGTGGGGTTCGAACCCACGCGGACTCGCGTCCATTGGAACTTAAGTCCAACGCCTTAGACCACTCGGCCATCACAGCATGGCGTTAAGGCTTTTAAAGGCGATCTTATAACTGGGCATAACAAAGCTTGCCATATTTGAATGCCATGTTCGATAGAGAAAAACGCTGTTCGATTTGGTTTTGACAGAAAATTTGTGATAACTTTTGTGAAATTGATGCAAATAAAGGAGAATTTGTTTTCCTAATCCGTAAATACACAAAATATAGGAAATAATACTCGATTCTGGGATACAAAATCTAGAAAATGAAAATCTTGGAAATGAATTACATTCAAATCCCACACACTCACGATCTTTACTGCAAAAGTTAAAAAGTTTAGGTTTTGAAAAGAATAAAACAGCCTCCAATTTAATCTCACCAAAAGAAATATCGAGAAAACAAGAACTTGAAAAAATAGGCAAAACAATTGTAAAGAAGTCTTTATTACTTTGAAAATTTGCATTTATTTTCATGCCAATTTTGCGTCTAAAACTAATTGCTGTGCGACAATATGACGTGTTTGTTTTTTAAGATTACTAGACTTGGCTAGAACTCGTTCGCTTTTTATGATATGCCAGAATCGAGTTTATTCAGACACGATTGTGCAATAGATAACAAAAGGGAGTTCAAAATTTATGGAAATGGTTGTCCAGAACTTTCTCAAACTCACTAGGAAGCTTTGACTTTTGTTGTTTGTTGTCGATGTCGCCGCTCTTAATCACAATTGGTGCCGCTTTAGAAACGATTCCATCTAACCGAATCTTCTTTTGAAGAAAATTGCTGCATCAGCCAGTCGATTAGCCGCTTCGTTCCATTTGCTTTCTTTCGCTCCTTTTCAAGAATCCATATTGCCAAATAATAAACAATAATAGTAAACATAATAAACACGATTAGGATAACTACAAATCGTTCTAAAATAGCATTTATGTCGAAACCGCAACATCGAGCCGTCGTTCGTTCGATGTTTTGACTTGTTAACCTGTTTGTTATCTAACTTTGTTGTTTTGAATATCAATTTCATAAATTTGAAAAAAATTGTTTTGTTTGTAGCGTTTTTTTGGAAAAATACTATATATTTTGTCGATTTTAATCCTTTTCCATTCTCTCTAATAGTACGCAGTCTAGGAGGGAGTTGAAAAGAATAGTACGGCGCCGTACTATTAGAGAGAGTACGGTATTTCTGAAGGCTAGCGTAGTGAAACCGTTAATTTACAACCGATTAGCCCAATTTTGGTATCATTGACTGAGCCTTGTGATTCCTTAAGAGGAACACACTCTAATCAAGTATCTACAAGTACAGTCAACTCTCGCTTTAACGACTTGGTTGCAAAAAGTTGGTTTAAGATTATAAGATCAATACTTTATTCTGGGCATGAAAAGTGACAATGGAACATGTTTAAATCACAAAATGATACATAATAAACTTCTTGAAACAAGAGAGGAATTGTGGAGACTGAAGAGTGAATTAATTCTATTCAAATTCAAATTCAAACTAGCATCTAGCAAAATTTAAAAACAAATCTAAATTTAAATTCGATGTTGTTAAATGAATGAATGAAAAAACTGAATTGAAGCACTATCTTTAACACTTGATCCAACCAAATCAAGCGAGATTCAGACAAGTACGATCTCGATGGCCCTTGACCCAGCACTGTATCGACTTCTGATTACTTTCTAAAAGGATGGCTACTCGGTTTGCTTGAAGAATCTCAAGTCTAACAGTTAATACTTGCTGTATCCGTTCAACTTAAACTCTAACACTTTTAAAGAGTAAATTTGTAAAAGTAATGATAAATCTGAATTCAAGCACTATCTTCAAAACAATTTACGTGAACTCTAAGAAACAATAATGTTATAAGAAAATTATAAGTTAAACAGCCAAAGTTAAGTGGCTTAAGCATTAATTTTCTACAAATTTTGTTTCAAAACCTTAAACTGTAAAGTGGTGCTTTGCCTCCCACGTTGTTCTGAAACTATAGCCTACTAGAGCTGTTCCATTTGTCGGTCTGATTGTCAATTCGGTTGTACAACGGAAAAACGAGATTTGACCACTTCAGCGAGCTACTTTTGCAGGGGTTTTAGAAAATGGAGCTTCGAAAATTCCACCCTTCGTGTAACAAGGCGAAATGCTGCAAAAGTTGGCGTTGAAGTGATCAAATCACGTTCTCCGTTGCACACCTATTGGAAATCCTGACCGAAAAATGAAAAGCTCTATAACGCACCGATCAAGTTTTGAGTAAGATTTCAAATTAAATCCGATTGATTTTGATTGATATAAATTGATATGAATTAGAAATCAGAAAAACACAAGCCTTACTTCAATCGTTTCACAAAGAAATACACGAATTTCGCTTCCCTCTCCAAGCCCATGCAAAATCTCAAATCATCCACGAAATCGCACTCTTCCAGAAAGCACTGAACTCGAAATCAGGTTCCAAATTTTCTTATGCGTTCTTTCTCTCCTTTCCAG